AGAAGGGAAGAAGGAAAGATGCAGGTATTCGTCGTCGTCATCGTCATCGTGGAGCTCCTAAGAAGAACGAAGGCAGTGCGGCGAGAGCCTTTGATTTCTGCTGTCGCTTCAAGTGAGCGGCTAATGAGACCGACGCGCTTTCTATGCGTCCGATCGAGAAGAAAGGCAAGATGAAAATCGCGACGAGGATGAGAAAAGATAATAATAATAATAATAATAATAATAACAAGACTGAAAGGAGGTTGGCAGACGGCGCTGATGGTGGGAGGTTGTCGACTGCCGCTGCGAGAAAAGAAGATACTGCGTGAGAGCGCAGGAGTGACGGAGTGCCGGCCAAACGAGGGAAAGCAGAATGATATCATATTGAGATCGAACGAAAGAGCTGATCGCGACAGGACGAGTCTACGTACATTTGCCGTCCTACAGACAGGCTCTGGCTGGCTCAGGTGTTAAGAGTTTCGAGGGCACAGTCGAAGGGCGGCTGCAACCAACCACTTTGCAGCGAATTCGCCGAACGGACACGTGGATCCTGTTTGCAGAAAGGTGCCGGTCATCTCGAAGAAGTTCCCTCAGATATACAAACCCATCAAGGAGGGTGTATGCACAAAGGCCCAAAAAGAACGGGCGGAAGTGAGCAGTATTGTACTAACGCTATGTTAGATTGGACACCTGTATGCCAGACAACGGCGTTAGCAAAAAGTATCCGTAGAATTATTCGCTATAATGTGCCCTGCTGGGCCTACAGCGTCTGTAGAATGCCAAACAACCTATGTAAAAGGTGACCAGTTTCTAGCTTTACAGCTTCTCTTATACTGATGAAAGCTGTGACTCAAGCATGTCTCGAAAAAATAAGGTACTATATACAACGGTGACAGTGCAGGCCTCTGTTCTAGTTTGAGCATTTAAAAAGTATGCAAGACAGAGAAAACTAATTTTCTCAGTATGAAAATAAGTGTTTTTAAATGAAAAGTTTCTGGGTGAAGATTCCTAAAACCGCATCTTCCTGAACAATGCAAATGCATTAGTTAACTGGTAGCCATTCATATCCCAAATTTTGTTTGCAAAAAAATACATTTTAGCAGTCATTAACTGTTTCCTATTTTTCATATTTAAAGCATCTACTGAAACCGTATTTTAGGCAGTCTTCTTTTTATATTAGTATTTTTCGGTGATGATGACTGTTCTTAAAAGCCACTAGAAAGTAACAGATCTATATATATTAGTCATTTTTCTAACTGACATCTTGTCACATTCGTGAACCTTGGTTCCGATGGTGGGCGCTGACACGCCCCGACGAACGTCCGACTGAGCACGACGGCACAACGCAGTCAGTGCAGCAGTAACTGACCATCAGTATCGGGCCACGGGTGTTACGTAAAACTGTCCTGATAGTCGCCACTGGCAGTACCTACTGGACGGTAACATGTCCTGCCCTGTTGTTGTTTCTCGTACGTAGCAATCTTTCTTTTATACACGTGCTTACAGATCCCATAGAGGTAGCGCATTTGCGGCCATGACACAGGCACGGATGCGTTCGCACGCATACACACACCTATACATAGATGGGCTGCAGGGAGACGACAGGTTTATCCGACAGATGAGTGCCCATATAGGATATACTGTACATTAAGTCATACTGCATTTACAGGAGAGCACAGAAACACATGCACAAATACAATGTGATGACAAGACAAACAGGCCGTTTGGGGGGCTGTCATTTACAGGGACGCTAGGTCCCTGTGTAACGATGAAATGGTGGCTCGCTATTTTCTATTATGTGCGTGCCTAGCTCGCACGCAGCTTATTTCTCGCACGAGTGAATGCACTGCAGGAAAAGGCTTGCTCTAATGCGGTAAAGGTCGAAATTTGTGGAACGGTTTTGTTGAGCCTCTATTCGATATTCCGTGATACGTTACTAACAACACATAGTGGATTTATTACGTCGGTGTTATGACGTATACTAGCTAACTACAATATTGAAGGAACTATCTAAACCCCACAGGATCAAAAAATCGTAGATCGATAAATGACAAAACCTCTTTATCGCATCTGGGGTGCAGGCAAACCCTATCAGCGAAGTGATCTGTCGGCCACTCAGTAGGCCATATGATTCGACGGAACATCACCACAAGAAACTCCTACTACCCCCAAACATAATCCGCACCGGATCCAGCATCCTTAAAAGCTGGGTGTGAGAAGATCAGGGTTACGCGTAGGTATGAAAGGACCGACACGACAGCTGCGCGAACGGTTGGTGCGTTTTCTGCACTTCTTTTGCGAACCTCGTCTTCAAAGTAATGATGACGACTGTTGGCTATACTTACACTTCTACGGAAAATCGCTCATCAATAAGCACACAATAGAGGTTATCTGCTGTATTCATTTAAGGGTCTCATTTTTCAGATAGAACCCAACGGGCGGTACAATCAGTGCCATAGGCGTTTGTAACTTGCAGAAGGAACTACACTGAAACCACTAATTTCATAACATCACTAGTTTTTATACCTGAGCTTATGTTATGCGTTCTATTTGTAGTTAAACTTATCATGCTTCTGGTCTTAGTTAGTTTACTTATTGCAAATCAAATATATTTTAGTGGTCACATAGTAGTTGTCACAGGCTTGCACATGGTGCCGCATTCAGCCAGCTCTCCTCTGTGTCAATCTGAGGAACAAGTTCGAGATCTACAGTCAGAGAATTGATGCATTAGTGTGGCTTGGGTCGTTGTAACTTCATCGTCTTCATTACACTGGGCATTGAAATAAATCAGCGTTCAGCCCAACATTTATCAGGCCAAGTCGGATTATTTACCAAGTGCGTCGGGCCTTCGTACCGTAATTTAGGCACAAAAAATCGGCGATTAACATAATTACATGTTTAGAAATTTGATAATGGAATGCCTAAGAACTGTCTGAAAGGAGTTTTATAGTACATGCATCTAAAAGACGTGCTAGCAGTAGGAAAATATTATTTATATATATAAAGGACGTTATTAGACATTGAGATAACTCGCGCTGGATGATAAAATCACATCCGAACTGACAAATCCGACAAATCGGCTGTTTTTCAGAAGCCTCGCCTTAAACCTTTCGACGTGATGTTATCGATGTCCTTCAGCTTACTAGGTTTAGGAAGAAAGGTGTCGTACTAGATTTTTGCAAGGCGTCTTAGCACGCCTAACAGCGAGTTAACTGCGGCGGTCTGGACATCATGGTCCAGTATTTGACATCGAGTGTCAGCCAACTGGAAAAAATATTGAGGTGGGGCATCTGCACTATTGGTGGCTAAAATGGTGTGAAAACAGAGCTGTCGGTGTAATGTTCAATCGCATAAAAGTTGGGGCACGATCGGAGACTCTGTGTATGACCCCGAGCTGTTCTTCGACACGATTGACGTCTGTCGCTTACTATTACCTCTGATACTGACGGTAGCGATGGAGACGCCGCTCGTGCTACCTGCGATTAGTTCGTTCTCCCTCCTTCATCGCTGTTTTCTTGGCCTTCGATATCTGCCTCGCTGACGCAAGTCTCGTTAAAGGCGTCAGAAAACACAGCGTCAGCCAATGGCAATTGGGCAGCGGCGGTGCGCGGCGAAAAGGAGCCGCGCTGCCACGCACCTTTCCTTTTCATGTTGCCAAAAAGCGAAAAATCAACCGAGCGCCACCGAAAGCGCTAAACGGTAAGCGCAAGGAGGAGCGAGCAAAATAAGCAAAAGGACGCCGCCATCATCACACCACAACGCTACGACTATCGGCCAGGGGCGTCGGCACCACTTTTCCTTTGAAAACAGAGACAAGAAGGGAATCCTATGTCAAAAAAGGCTCAACAAGAAAAAGAAGATAAAGCAGCAAGCTAACAAGTAAGTGAACGCGCGGTAACAAGTCCTGCGCGCGCGCGCGCGGACCTTCTTTCATTGATGGTAGACGGTTAGACAGGTGGACGGCCGCGCGGACGGCGAGGTATCAACAAGAAGATCGAACAACTACGGAGCGAAATACGCGATTGCAACAATGAGCCGTCCCTACCCAGCTGCTCAGACCCGCTTTCCGAGCCATCTTACTTACGTCGAAGGAGAAAAGCTCCATAAATTGTAGCTTTCATCAAGAATCAAGCTAAGTAGCTGCCGGTGTATGCCTAATCATGCGGCCGATCATTGTTGTAGCGGCCGTAACAGCAGCATACGGTCTATCTAGCGGGCCTCTGCCACCACCGCCCCGCGTGTTCCGCCGCCAGCGCTGCTGTCGTCAACTAGTCGGGCTCAAATTAGTGATAAATATGAGAGACAAAAAAAAAATAAAATAGCCTTCACAACTGAACGAACACGGAGCGATGAGGCGAGGGAAAAGTGGAGGAAAAAAGGTGTTGATCATCGACGTGGTTGTAACCTATTACTTGGCGGCTTTGGGGTGCCGACTGCCTGAGCTTTGGATACAACGACAACGGTCGAAACAGTAACAACAGCAGCAGTAACTTTTTGCGTATGTTGTGAAAATGATTTTTTCGATGACGCAGGCGTACATAGCAGCGGCAGTCACCAGTTTGATGTCTTCGGTATAGCAGTTTATTCTTATGTAGTAGTATTACTGCTTGTAAATTATCGTAGCAGCGATTTTCAACAGTTTCGGCCATCAGTGATTCAAAGTCGACCAAGCAGACGAATGATATCCGAGTTGATGGTAACGGCTGGACTGTGAGCGAGCTGCTATTCGCGCTCAGCGACGCGATTGGGGCACGCGTGCGAAACCCTCGCCTTGTCTCTTCTCGTCGCGCATCATTACGATCACACACGCACGCAAACCCCCACACAGTGATGTTAGGTAGATGATAGCAGCAGGCGTACTACGACGTCGAACGACACACACTGACTAGAGAAGCTGGGGAATGAGTGAACTGCCATCAGGGCTAAGTTGTAGCTAACTTCTTTCAGTTTCTTAGTTCTGGTCAAGCACACGACAGATACGGGACAAAATACAGGTTCTGTGCGCTTTGTCGTATCCTTTACGTTCTATGCCATCCGCTGTACGCAGTGCAGGACTTCGCTATAAATGTTACAATGCTTTCGGACTGGTGGCCGCCTATACTGGTATATATGAATTTATTTATCGATCTATTTGCGTATTGCAGGACGCGTATCGTGGTAGCACTTACAGGCAATTAAATTTTCAGAAAACAAGGGACATATTAATGATTAAAAAGACCAACTATTAAATGCCCTCATTTCAGTTGGCGATGTCTCTGTTATTATTCACGGCATCTCTACTGGGGGTTTTGGCGCGATCGAGCAGCGACCCACTTCCACAACCTCAAGCACACACAAGTATACCCCTTACAGGAATGGATATGGTCAAACTTCTAGCAACCGCGATAAAGGTAAATCCTATACTGTCTATCTCCTACCACAGCGCCCTTCCACAACTGGGCATAGCAAAAAGCGCTGTACGAATGCTTGCACCCCCGTTCAATACCACTTCATATGTTGCATCAAAGTGTTGAAGCTGTATATAACGCTTTTTGAAAAATTATACGGATTAACTTATCAACAGCGCATATGGTGACGTTACTTCTTGTACTCGTTCAAGTGTTGCCATAAATACGCTATTTCACAAGATCGAACGTGTATTGGCATTGCTATATAAAGAGTAGCGTTAGTTCCCTAAAATTTGTTTTATCATTTTTTACACTGACAACAATAATGTCTGTGTTTGGCTGGCTTTTTGGCGATTTTCATACGACAGACGGAGTCAACGACGCCCGTAGGGCCGTTATCAAGTGTTCAGGCCATTTCGCAAATTGCTCAAGCGTATCAGGCTGGCATAGACGGCAAACGTCCAAAGAGTTCGCGGACCATGAACCAAAATGCCTACCCAACAGAGACCAATAATAAGCAAAAGGAAAGGCCACAGCTGAGATTACTCAAAAAAGTTCTGCTTCACAATTCAACAGCGATGTGCAACGATGGATCACCAGCAGGGTAAGTTAAACGTATTTAGGTATTCTTCGATGGGTCACGTGTCCGATAGAACGACGTGGGTAAATCATTGTGTTCGATGCTTTACTGTTTTAAGAAAGCCGATTACTGTGTGATGATTCGGTGCAGCTCATCGTTCCTTCGAATTCACGTAATCGTCTATGTGAGGAACAACCATCGAAACGAGTTTAGTCGTAATGATATTTTACCAAATAATCCTCGAGGGTGCATAGCCATTTATGGTAAATCTGAGCATACGAGCGGCAGAGAACCGAAACTATCTTTGACTCAAACTTTCAACAAGTTACTGTAGCTCATGTAATATCCAGTAGTTCTTACTCGAAGGGGTAGCTGAAGAGGAAATTTGCTAGGGGGGAAAAATCAGATAACACAAATGTTATTTCAAAGTCCACAGCAGCCCAATACCACGGCCGAGCATCGCTGCGAATTTTCGGAAGAAATCAAGGCAGCATTTGTTCCGAGCGGTGAACTCATCGGTGGTCCTACCGTATCGGCCTGCAGGCTTACGCACTAGAGATTTATGGTCCTATAGCCGCTGGTGCTCGTCTATTGTATTACACCAGTATATCACTACTGCTATCGCCGGCTGAGGGCGGCAAATGAGTAGTGATGCGGTTTGAGTTAGCGCGGTAGAGAAGCCAGACGTAACAAGAAGGCTGATCACAGTTGGTTGAAGTTGTTTAAAAGGCTGTCGAAGAGTTTATTACAAGACAGCAGGCGTGGCGACAGGCAGTCTGTATCGTTTCAGAAGTAGGTGCGAAAAGTGAGGGAAGAAGACATGAGCCTTTGAAAAAAGGACCAAAAGGAGGGAAGCCGGGTAACAACGAAACATAAGAAACACCTGTTCTCCTGAGTTCTGAACAAATCAACAGCTACTACTCGACGGACATGCAGATGGTACGCAAGCTGCAAAGTTTCTAACCACCTCGATGGACGGTCCTGGGGTTCGTCGTTCCCACGGCACTCAAGGGCAATGATAGGAAACCAGAAAAGAATAAGCGCAAACAACGCAGAACAGATGCGCCCGCGAAGCCGAAACTACCACAGTGCTTTCTGATAGCTATAACAACGCATATGTAATAGTTCTAAGGGAAAAAATAACAAAGTAAAAATAGACGCGCAAATATTTATTCGCAAGGATATCCGATTATAACTTACGCGCGCCCGTATTTAGGCCGATAGCGACAGGCTGCTCAGAGAACCACGTAACCATACAGTGTTTGGGTGGGTTACGCAAGTCAACATAAAAACATTGTTTAAACTTTTCCGCCGCTCTGTATAGAAGAAACGGTAGTATTTCGAAACTGATTAGCTTTTAGGCGTATTTCGTCTATTATTTATTCAGCTTAGGTTCTCATCGTCGTTATCATGCATGGCTACACCAAGTGCACGTTTTGTGTGGCCGCACGACTTCTGATCTTGAAATAGATCAATGCAAAATAATTCGTTGATTCTGCGTTTCGTTCATTCGATATTCGTTTGCCCATCCTCTCGTTGACCTGTGAGTTTCAACGAGTACATTTTATTACAGCTGCCATTGCCTTCATCGCTGATTTTATCCTGACGTTGTTGTTGCTACACCCGTTCTACTGGTATAAACGCATTGGCGTTTTCGTTCCTTTAACCGTTGCTGATGCTGGGGCTGTTGCTGACGATAGCGATGGCAATGATGATGACTTTCATGTTTCTGCTGATGTTCGTTATGGTGATGATGACGTTCATGATGGTGATGGAGACAGCCATCACTACCTGCCAGCTTGTAGAGTAGAGAAGAATTGCTGTTGCAGCCAGCTCTGCCACGGTTCCCGCTGCTCAGGGCTGAGGGCGGAGTCATCTGGCGGCGAGGCTCTTTTGAAGTGGCGGCAAAATGCCTTTGATTTGCCGATGGTGGCCTACTATCAGCGCTTACTTCACTTGCGGGAGCCCGTTGCAGCTGTACTCGCAGTCTAGAGCAGTAGCGGCAACAGCCGTCGGAGTAGAACATACACCAAGAACATACATCGCCTACGATCGGATAGTGGACGAGCGGATCTGTGGACCTCGACAAGTAGAAGTACCTAGGTACAGGTAGCGTCCGCAGGACGGCTCAGCGCCAATGTGTCTGCCTACGAATCCTGGATAGGACATACGGATTGAACGCCGCAAATAGATACAATCGCTTTTGCCAACTCTCTGATACAATGCTGTTAGGCGTAACACCACAAACGTTTATGTATGGTTTCTATATTTGTAATCATTTAACTATGTATTTCGCTGCTTACCACGAAGGCTATGCCATCTACTGATCGTCGTATCGTATGCATGAATCTATTATTAGATAGACACACTTGATCACGACAACTCTTCTGAGTTCGAGAGCTCGGACCTCAGTCGTTCGTCAGTCGGTAAAAGTAGCCCTTTGAGCTTTTTCCTTTGATAGTGTCAGACTGAATATTCGTCAGTTTGTATCTTCTGAACGATTCTCCTTTGGATCTGCTCATTACCTCCACCGTATTGTTATATTTTTTCCTCATATCGGGAGGAGAACTAAAACGACGGAAGCTTTAAAACATAGTTCGGATAGGAAAGCATGACTTTCGAAAGCCTACGTTGGTTTTAATTGAATGGAAAGTGTCTCGTGATATTGAGCTCTGGGAGACGCACTTTTGAACAAGCCAATTTATCCAGCGCTTTTAGAAGCCTCCTAAAACTTTCTTGGATAAAGATTCTGAGTGACAAGATCTACAACAACCTAGTATGTGCAGAGAATTCTAGGGTAAACCGTTTTGTCTTCTTATACGGAATCTGCCATTCATAGCTAAGCATACGCGCGAAGCGGAAGAAAGATGGCTTCCGAGTAATAGTCGGTTGATCAGCGGATATATCTGGAGCTGTAGAAGTATCACTAACTTTACTGGGTCCAATAGAGCAGCCATAATCAATTAAAATCAACAAAAAGAAACTCAACTTAAATGCTGACCCATTCGTTGTAGTCGTTGTATTTGTTCGAAACTGGTTTTTCCGGTAGAGAATCTGTTAAAGGGAACGTCAAGGAGAACCAGCAATTGTATGTGTTCTGATGATCCGATTTATACTCTATACATCACTTGTATATATAGTTAGGAAATTAACTAATGTACGAAATATTTTTTTCGCTGAAACAGATATTTTCCATGTGGTGCCTAAGGAACGGTTTAACCAATGGAGCTACAAATTTTCATCGTAAATAAAGGAGGGAATACAATCGATAACAATGTAATCGATGGGTCACCAGGAAATCCGCGGGCGAATATAATTTAAAAATAAATTCATTTTTTTGGGACAACGTAATCAAACCCATTACATGCCTTGTGCGTTGTTGTAACAAAAGAATTTATTTCGATGTCATTAGTTTTCCGGCTGGGATTTCTAAGGGAAAGGCGAATTGATCTTTTTTTTTTCTAAATTTTTATCAGCGTTTGAACTTTTTCATTTACAGCAGCTAACTATAAAGTGTGCGTTTTTTTTTTTTGTTTATTTCCGTAGATATTACATCCGTCGAGCCACAGGAGGAAGTAAACGTTGGGTCGTCTTTCTTGAGGGCGGATGGCACTGTTTTAATGAAAAGACTTGCCACATACGGTGGAAGACGAATGGGCATTTTATGACCTCGTTGGGTTGGACCGAACAACGTTATGGTATGTCCTAATTCGAATTTCCCCAAACGCCTTTGTATCCCACACGCCTTTTTCAGTCGTTTTACCCTCTTTTTCAAACTTGGTATTGAGTCATGAAGTAGTACTAGAATTCAGTCACAATTTTTAACCAAAATTCGTAACCTATCAAAGAACGAAGTATACGTAACACGTAGGCGGCAAGTAAGTGTGATCGATATGCGAGAACATAAAAACACTCTTGTTTATTCAAAATATCACTAGTTCAGCTTCAGTAAGACGTTTTGTAGGCTTTGCAATATTTAGTAGCCAGTATTTAACTGAACTCGTTTGAACGGAAGCGCGTTTGACGTCTCAGTTGGAGAAAAATTGGTTACATATTACTGCAATACCTGCGGCCATAACAAAAACCAGACTAGCAATAACCTTCAAAATGAGCTTCCGGTGCGCTGACGTAACAAACAAAGGCGCGGTTAATAATATCAGAAAATAGCAGAGGTATGGGCAATTAATAGCTGGCTTCGTACGTTCCGTTTACAGAGCGCGGCATTTTGTCTCCTAACATGGCTGAGAATCCCTATCTATGGAACGCTAATCACGTGTAAGTTTTTAGTATAAACCCTGATAATATCAATTGAATCTGGTAACAAAAATGATCTTCATAAGTAACTTGTTATGACCCTTAAAATGCATGTGCTTTAATTATCTATTTTGCTCCCAGAGTACGTTCGAGGCGGTGCAATCATAATAGAAGTCATGGTTATTCGTACTTAAGTTGATCGCAGTTGTAACATCGCAAAGTTCTTTTCGGCATAACAACAGTCTGAGCTCGGCTCTCAGTCCAGCCTGGAGGTTTCAACCGAAGCAGACCGACAAACGTACAGACACACACAAAGATTCTTATAAACCCAATAGTTAGACGAGCGGCAGCAGCTGCTAGCCATGCGACTTTACAATATGGAGGAATAGCTATTTAGCTAAATGGTAGGCTATTTTCTTTAAACGTTCCATCATAGGCATGCGTACGTACTACCATAGGACGGACCCTTCTGCTGCCTTATGGTCCCGCCCCTCAGTTCAGCGCTAAAACGAGGAGATAGGAGAGCAGAAGGAAAAGTAAGGAGCCATCACCGAGCACCAGGTCGTTTTCTGCTGCTTTCTGTCTGGCTACCCTCTCAGTTACAGACGAAGAAGAGGGCGCTGGACACAGGGATGAAGATGACTTCGATTGACGTTTCCGGTCTTGACGGCGGCGACGGCGGCAGCAGCGGCGGCGGCGGCAAACTTCAAACGACCGGCGGAATATCGCGCTTACACTCGCCCTCGCTCTCTCGCTGTCCATCATGTATTTCTCTTTGAATTGTTTTCTTCTCGTCGGGATGTTTCTTCAGTTGTCCGTAAATCCGCCATGGCATATGCTACTTCGATTTCATCGATGATGCCCGTCGCTTCTGTCGCCGTTTTGGCCGTTGCGCGCGAGACGTTAAGCACGTTTCGACCCGACTCGTTCGTATGTCCGTCTCGAACTGTCCGTCTCGAACCGTGTGTTTAATTCACTCACCTCTGCGCTACCTAGCAGCTACCTACCCGTTTCTAAGAGCGTCAGCATCATCTGGTGTCGACGCTGCTGCCGAGGTCCTTTCTTCAGGCCTACTAAGGTGCCCAGTCGTTCTCTGGCACTTGTTCGTTGTTACTGGTTCTGGCCGCTACCGCATATTGGTCCTTGCCCTAATCGTCGTGGCTTCGGTGTCGAACTACGTAATAGTATTACTCCAACTAAGTTTGTTACTTCAACTAGCTGACCAGCATAGCAGTCATCAGCAGCCTTCGTTCCTTGGCTTCACCCCCAGCGCTTTAAGCAGCGCCCATAATCAACCGCCGAGTCGGGTGATCCTGCGATGCGCTTGGCTGTGCCGCCAGTGCCGCAGAAGGGAGCGAGTCTCCCCGAATCGTCGTCATCCGACGATCAAATTATTGTTTATTTGGCCAGCAGAACTCTTTGATCTTCTACCGAACAGCGTTCCTCTTGTGCTGCTGCCCATCTTCGATCTGCCGCCTTCAGCAACGCTAGTACCGTGCTTAAATGCCAAATCTACACGTCGCGATGGCCCTGCGCGTTCAGCAGCTTCGTGTTCTCTTATACATACTGGCTATGGTAGTACATTTTCCTCGATACGGTTACTTTCTTCTTGCTGGGAGCACCCGCGGCCAAATCTCTCTACCCCATAGCCCTTCATTACAGTCACATCAATCGGGTGCGCGTGTGCATGTGTGCAATGCTAATAGCGCTAATCACAACAGTATTAGCTGGAGCCTTGATATGCTTCAGGACAATGCTATACAGCATAGCATCAATGTAACGCTTAGAACATAGCAATGAACATTGGACTCTGATTATAATGCCATTTATGTCCGATATATAATAATTACAGTTTCGTTCCCTATTGTTCGAGTGATGGCTGGAGCGGCGCTTCTATGGCGACTCGTCAAGGAGAATTTTCATTTATGGGCGCTGTAATTTTGCGGAAAGTCATCGAGGATCTTATTCGACGCGGAGGTCTTCTTTCTGCCAGACTGATCTTCCTGGCCGGAAGTTCGGCAGGAGGAGTGGGTGTATTTCTTAACATCGATCGCGTCGCTGACCAGATTCGGGAAGCCGGATCTCGCGCCCGCGTCCGAGGCATTGTTGATTCTGGATGGTTCCTCGATAACGAACCTTATGGGCAAGCTCCCTGCCGTGATGTGCATAACTGTAATGCAGTTACTATGATACAGAGCGGACTAAGGTAGGATATTGTAACTTTATTTGTGAAAAGTGTATTGCTATGAAATCATAATGACACACCCTACTGCGAGCCAAGGCTGATCATAGATTTAACATTTTTCGTTCAAATTGGATTTATGATGCCTTTTAACAATTTTCTTTATACTTTTAATACTTATTAATCGGCTCCTCGGAGAAACAACCAAAGGATCTACTTTATGTGCCGGTTCTAAATTCCGGACTATACACATATATATATATATATATATAACGCAGACGTTTACGACATGACCGAGGTGCTGCGGAATGATGTTAATGCTCATATGGCCTTTTGTAAGCGGGTAAGGCACGCGTTTTCGGATGCATGATGAAGTCGGGAGCTTGAGTCGAGAGGTACTTGAAATATTAAATATTGATCGTTATTGATTATTTCAGCTTTTGGCAAGGGATGTTACCAGAGCGATGTACTCAATATTTATCTAAGGAGGAGCATTGGAAATGTTATTTTCCCTATCGCATCTACCCAACATTAAAAAGTGAGAACTTATTTACTTATAATATTAAAGTAATCTCTTACACTTGATTCTAATTGATCTTTACTACCATTTACCTGGGCGAGACTCACGAGGAAATACATTTCAACGGTACCTTTATGCTCATCTTTGCAGCTCCATCTTTCGTTGTGCAATTTGTTTATGATGAGGCGCAAATGATGATCGACAACGTGGCCAACCCCATAAACCCCCGGCAATGGGAGTACGCGTACAACAACGGAGAAAAGCTACGTCAATCCCTCGCGAATGTCACGTAAGTAATTTCGTTGAATGAAGGAAAATTTGATTTGGTCATACGCTTGGGTAGGGTTCATCCCATTGACAGAAAGGCGGCCGTAACTGGGTCGCCTAAGCGCGTTTCCTATTAATTGCTTTTCAAGCGTTCCCAATAACGTTTGCATATTTTGCTTCTGCGTACACAGGGCTTTGTTCGCTCCATCGTGTGTATCGCACACCATATTGACAAAACCTAATTGGACGCAAATACGCATCCGTGGCATAAGTCTTCCGCAGGCCCTTCGTTGCTGGGAATTGCAACCTCATGAACACAATCATCATGAGCATCACCGCGATCATAAAATGTACGATAATATACGCAACGTACCATCAACTAATGGAAAGCAGCAACAACAGCAGCGCGCTGGGTAAGATATTCCCGCAGAACAAAAATAGGTGGGGTAATGACGACACGAAGCAAACTACTATTACGTACACGTACGTGGATATGCGTCTGGCTCTGAGATGAAATACCTGTGGATTGGACACATATTTCGATTGCCTCTTAATCATTATTTGTGGGTATGTTGCCTACCTAGCAGATAATCTAGGCCTAATGTAAAGACAGGACTTTTTGTTGTGTATCAGAAAGGTATCATTTGGGATTATACGCGGTATTTAATATCAAGAGCGTTAAGGGAAAATTATTGCTCATTGGCAGATGCTTTTGTTTTGTGTCGTTTGTATGGAATCGACAGGGCACGAGTTCGTCGTCGACGTACCCGTAAAAACCGAAAAGGTCCCGATAGAAATGGACGCAGCCGGCGACGTAAGACCACTGAAAGATCGGTGTACAGCCCTTTACTTCGTACCGAAATGCTTCAAATTCAACCAAAAATTACTTCAACTAGCGACCCATTACAACAGGACGCTCACGTTCAGCATCGGTGGAGACTTCATGCCGATCTTTGCCATCATCGCCTCATCGACGAATGTACATGGCCTCAGTGCAACTCCAGATGTCCTCCGCTGCTTAATCCATTTACCGGTAAACAAGTTGAATTTACTGAGCTACTGAAGTCGTTCGGGCTCGATATTAATGGTGCCGCTTCTATACTCGGTATCCACGTGAGTGAGTTGTATGAGATGAGTCACGATGCACTACTTCAAATTCTGAACTCTCAATACTATCCTACGCCGAATAACGATAACACGCATTCATCACCCTATCCTGCGTACAACATGCATAAGGCTAGTCGTTGCGTGCAGCCTGGTTGCAAGCGATACTAGCTACAAGCCTGGGACTAGAGTACTTAGACGTAATCAAGAACCATTCAATAATACAGTATTAGAACAAGTCGTTGCTAGATATTCAGGGATATGCTGATGGCGAAACAGGCGTTAGATCACGATAGTTGGATGTTGTACACATGTTACATAATCGAAGTTTTAAGACGAGCATTTTTCGAATAAAGTCAGGCGCGACCTCAACTGCTCCGATATGAAAGGTATCCGCGCTGAAGGCAACAGGGTGAAAAAATCGAAATTTTTAAACATCGACAACTATGTTGCTCCCCTATGTCCTTGAAAGGTCCATGTGTGTATTGTCAATGCCTTACTTCTCTTGGCGTCGTTTCATTCACCGCGAATACTAAGCAACTCATATATGGAAACGTATCAATCCTAGTAGTTGTGCGGGTCGTGGAGCATGAAACTAGCATAAGTGCCGCTGGCCAGCTAGACCCGGTAACGAAAACCAGAATTTGCCCCTCTATCGATATTGTATCCGTATCGTTGTTTCGAACAAAGGAGAATATCAATGCTAATAGACGCGGCACACCAGGAGCTTACGGTGATCTCAGTATTGACACGCTCATAGGTTCTATGAACATCTCAAGGAGTGTAAGGCACTCTTCCGTCGGTGATGTCACTGTACTGTATATATTTTTTGCAGAACGTAACGCACTTTGGTGACAGATGTGGCATATACTATTCGCCCCAAAAAAAGTTTCCCTTCACAATATTATGCCCATCGGTCGCCCGTGTCCTTAACATTGCATCCCTTCCACTAGAAGTACTTATACCACCTTATCCCAAACATCTTGTACCTTCTTGATACAAACTGGACGCAAGTATCGAGCTGTTTCGTGCACAAAATGTATAAAGCCATTAGCATCAAAAGAGGGTCAGGCAAAGCAGGGTATCTGTCGATGCGGCATTGGCGGCGGGACGTTCTGTTGCTACGAAGACCGGCTATGGTAAGAGAACTGGAGTAAAATCAAAACACGCTCAACCGTTGTACTCTGTGCTAATAAATCATGTACGCCTATACAAGTCTGTGTGCGTCGAAATGTGGAACAGTGTAACATCTGTCATACATAGAGCGAGCAATGCTTAATGCTAAAAGCACAGGGCCTGCTTGAGACACCATGAGGAAAAGTATCGTATAAATGTAAATATAATGATTATCTGAGTGTCATAAGCAGGACAGTATAGCAGATCAACTCATTAAAGCTAAAGAAATAGCCTAAAATATAACGATGACAATAACTATTTTAGATAATGCCGCTCTACCTGCAGTAGATAAAATTCTACTGACGATGTCTTTAGTAATCTAAAATTTCAATGGCCTCGAAGAAACAATAATCTGTTAGCAAGGACAAACATTTGTCGGTCTGATGATGTCATCTGGTTCACTCTTAAAGCAAAAAAAAAAAAACAAAAAAAAACTAAGTGTTCTTCCCTCTCTAAAAATTTTACTAATTATTATTAAGTACCAAATCAATTTATTTATGGACACCGGTTATTTGTTTATAAATGTTCGCTGAAATCAAATCAATGCTAATGGACACCGGTTCGCTGACCGTCGTTTAGCGCCCCGCAAAGATTTTTCTATTAATTTCCTATCTGTGATAACAAGAAGTAGTATTTAAATTATACTTATTTATTTAATTATAGCATTCATTTATATCGAACTCGCTATGTATACTGACTACGGTGAGACGAATATAATAGAAAAATACGCCAGTAATATAGCATGTATTTGACGAAACAAACCGTACGGTTGATGACGATTTTACTAAATAAACTATACGAATACAATGAATAAACATGACTAAAAAAAAAAAAAACAAGACTGGACGGAAAGTTTTTATGTGTATTTTTTTCATCATCGAACTGCGGCGAGAAACGCGATCGTAAATTGACGCCATCTAAAACACATAGAAACTAATAAAATTCATGTTTGCTCCAACGTAATTCTGCTTTTTTACTTTCACAGGTCCAATTCATTTCTTGAAAATCAACAAAAATTACAGGGTTTACTGTGAAACTTTTGATTTTGTACACCACGATACAATGTTATATACTTTTGTAAAGTAGCAACAATGTAGTTATGCAGTATCTCTATGAAATGTTAAAACAAAATATCATTGTTTTTCTTTCGTAACCTTATGATTACGTGAAGACACTCTGCAGTGCTGGCAGTGCTCACGTAATAAAGGAACCTTCTTTACGGGTCTATCGTCTTTCGCATGCGTACGTTTCGAATTGGAATATTGAGAGAAGATAGTTTTGATCGGGGCATCGAATGTATGACGAGCAACCGTATTAGAGTACTTTGCTGGTTTAGAATGCCCCGACTGATGTTTGCTGTACGTTAGTTCGTGTGAAAGATGCATAGAACGTTCACGAAAATAGGTCTTTTGAGAAAAAAAATTTCGATACCGAAATATGTTTGTAATCGGCACCCACTATCACCAGAAAGAGTCCTGTTTATAAAACATTTGCCTCACACAAAACAGGTTGAAGGCAAAGGCGAAGTGAGGCCTAGTTTATTTAGTAGTCGAGCAGTTATGCAAGATCATCCTTGTTTAGTTAAAAATAACTTGTATAAGAAATTGGGTTGTTAATATAATTAGCATAATTTAGCTAAATGCGATGGCTTCTTTACCTGTTCTAACGTTTAGAAAGTTAAACCTTTTTAGTATTTTATGTGGCCTTGTATAATATCGTTCTAATCTTTAAGTAACGTTAATGAAACAGCAAACTAAGGACACTTCTATTACGAATTCTGATTGCGGTATGTCCAATTATTTTAATTGTTTAGGTTCACTTCTTGTAGGCTTTGAAATAGCCTCGTGTAAACACCTAGGTGGGCGCTTATATACAAAAAATACCATGAAAGACATGAATGTTTGCCATGTTAGACGAGCCGGTAACATGGCCAATTAGGAGCGTTAACATAATTTGAGTGTACTTTTCTACGAATAGTATATACTATTGTTGTTACAGTTGAACCACAAAACTATGTATTGTCATAGAAACTTACCGATCTTAAAGTGTTACCATCCCTAAGGTCGAATAGGACGTTGTTTCACGTTTAGCGATTTGTACTATTTTCGCATTAAGATACCGAACCGTACAGAGACAAGAAAATGCGCGAGACTCAATCATTGAACGGCTCCTTAAATACATTTGGACATTTGATGGATCTCGTATCCCGCACTTGTAGATCACTGAGTCACTGAGTCGATTTCTAAGCAAATGAAATAAATTCAAGTGAAGGCTGAAGTGCGTCGGATATCACACACTTCGATATACGGCGGCAACCTTCGTTGTTTTTTTTTTTTAAATTTAACACGTATATTATGCTAGCCAAGTAAATACTACTCTGCCAATGTTTCATCACCCCGCTTAGCTTGTATGAATACCGGAATTTTTTCTGGTTTTATTGCTCGTGACAGCCAAGCTGTCTAATTACAGCCAACAGTGAAATGTTTGAACTTTGGAAAGGGATGAGCTACCCTGTTATTTCCTGAGGCAAGATTTTCGTCGTAAAAACGGCACTGCTGTGACAGTTTCCGTAAGCTTTGTATATATACGCGGACACGTTATAGACGCTAACGTAACGCACCGCTGGCCTGAGCACTGTAACCTGACGTACTTAGACTAAAGAACTTCTCTCATCAAATTTTAGTTAATGGCTACAATGGCAACTTTCTTATTGACAAAAGTGTTTTGAAGTTATTCACGCAATGTAACTGGCGCTTGCCTGCTTAACGGCTGGGCAGTTGTATCCTTTGGTAGAGCGACATTTAATTATTAAGCGGACGTACAACTGCTGATGCCAAGATAAATTCTGCAATCGGTTACTCATCAGTTACCCACACTGCTGACGAGGACCAGCGGTGCTCAGACGTCGATAGATGTGATGAAATATAGCCCGCTACTGCTCATTATGAACAGCAGGCTGATCCTCATCAGCGCCATGACAGCCTGCGTTGTAAGGACCATCAAGGACTAACAGTATAAGTATCCCCTAAACAAACATAATCAAACGGTTTAATGAGAATAGCTAAATGTCCGTGACGTAAAGGAAATTCACTTGCCTGAAGAGTTTAGTGATTGATAATGAGAACACCTTAGGGTTTATTAGGGTTTTATGTTCTTTATATGTTGGAGAGTGTCTCACGTATAACATTTAACCCAGCTGCCCATATGAGGCAATTAGCCGGCGGATACTGTGAACTATGCATAATCCTTTAAAATCAGATAAGAAGGCAACGAACTAACAAAATATATATAAATATCCGAGAAATTTATAGCATTAAGAGCGAATAGCTACAGGCATCTGTCTACAAGCAAATGAAGAACTGCACAATTTGTAGTTGTATTGTTTATATCAGCCATTTTCGGGAACGATTATCACTTGTAAGCTCTAGATTTTACGCAATCACCCACGGGCTGATTTTAACATAACTGACTGGAGTGATACTTAACGAATCTCAAATAGGAAACTTTCTTTACAATCAGTTGAGTATCATCCATTGGTATCTCAGGCGTCTGAACTTCCAAGCTTTCGCCGATAGGCAAACTCACAGGCGGATTTAACAGTGGACCATGCGAATATGTACGCAAACGTACCGTGATTGCGGATGCTCAGTTGTTACGGCTCAAAAAACCGTACAGCTTAAACCAAATAGACTGGGTTTACGATGCGCGAAGAGTACGTATCGATTTTGACAAAAAAAAAAAAGGCACGTTTGTGTTGTCATGACAGCGGCGCTGGCTGTAGTCATTACAACAAACGACACGTAATATACGTGGGTCTATATGTTACTGATGTGACAGACGGAATAGGCATCGAGCAGCGAAAAGAAACATTGGATATGGTGCCCGCACAGAGGCTAACACTTCGCAATCTAAATCCACCCCTAACAAACTGCTTTGAAAAACTGAAGTGGCCATTTATGCCGTGGCCTTTTTGCCAGATAACTGCCACTGCAACACATCACTGCTCAGGTCTGAGATGATTCAGTCTAAGACGTAAAAGCAGTCGCGGGCTAAAGAAGAACTGAGTTTTCAAAGTGGTCCTTTCTAGAGTTCGATATTACAAAAATATGCATTACAAAAAAACAACGTGTCCAAAGATCTCTGTCTAGCGTAGCTTTTTGCTTACAAATAGATATACACCATTTGTGACAAATTAGAGTTATTCGAAAAATTTAAGATATGGCATAGAGGCAGCGTATGGCAAGCTAATCAAAGACATCTCACAAATATCTATTTCTGATAACGTCTAATGGACAGATACAAGCTTCGCTATTTAAGCCACGATCATTATGTGCCTAAAAATAAAATTAAAAATGTGCCTACTGAAGGACATTCAGCGTCTATGCTGCTCTAAGAAGGCCGCTGCGAGACTGTCTAGAAGGTATTTAGCTTGTTTGTGACTAGTTTGTATATTCGTAGCCTTGCCGAAATATTTATATTATTTTATTAACAGTTTCTTATACTTAATAAAATTCATAAAAGGTTTTTCGGCAAACCCCATTAGTAACTTGCTTTACGGAGAATCGCTATATCAAATGCATTGAAGTTTTGTATTTGCAGATGAAGACTTGAGAAGCTGAAGAGTATGTGTTAGCTTGACTAGAAAGTGATTCTTGGAAACGTTTCAACACTTGGCACCGGCAAGGTTTGTCAACTATTTAGTGTGACTTTTGTTACGCTCGTTCCCTTTACTGCGCTTTTTATAGTTTGCCTGGTTTTCTAAGCCATCGAATCATAAGAATGTATATTGTACATAAACCCAGTGAAAGCCTCTTCGCTCATGTAAATAAAAAAATTTGCTCATAAAAATAAAGAGATTGTTTTTATCCAGGATTGGCAGGGAATATGAAGAAAGAGTATTCCACAACAATCTCCAACAGACGACGACAAGCGAAGAAATAGCTTAAGAACCTGCGACAATCTTAACTATAAAGAATCGGTGAACGCAAACGGTGATTTGACTCCTCTGCAGCCAATAAACAGGACTTAAATCTCCTGGTTCCACTGGATTAAATCTGTTTAGGTTCATGCAACCCGGATCGCTGGTGATTCAAAAGCCGGAACAACGTTCAAAAATGAGGCTACAAATGGTTCGCTATTATAGGTGTTTTCTTCGTTCGCCGAAGGGCAAGGAGGGTTTGAAAATGAAGGGTAAAATTACTTTCTGGCCGATTTCATAGTGATAAAATAAGAAACCATTCCAAGCGATGTGATTATTTTCCATTTTTTAATCACATCAATCCAATTCCTTTGGCGATATTAACGATAACAATCGCCGCTTCGTAAACGTGAAGCATCGTTTAGAATAGGGAAGGCCCTCATTATGGGATGAGCCTATTGGTGGCTGTTCCAATTGCACGTTCAATTCTGCGATCCAGCATGGGCGTTATTGCAAATCAAGACGTGTGATGTTGATGGACTCTTCTCGATAGAAAACACTGATCGATTGGTGGCCTCATCGTATGTCGGGTTGTTTTTATTTGCTCACGCAAACTCTTCATACAGAATTCCCCTCTGGCTTTAGAAATAATCTACCACAGTTTACTGAGCTGAGACTGATCAACCTACAAAAGGTATATAGCTCGTTTTTACCAAAAAATTAAAAGTAATATAGCGTAAAAGACGTAGTTATTATGTTTATCAGATTTTCGTCTAAGCACGCTTTGTGCTTGATTTGGTTCGGAGTGCAAAAGCTCAGTGCTTTCTTTTAGTTGTTATAGGAGGAATATGGATCTTTTCAAGGAAAATAGGATGTGTATAGATGACAGGTTGGTTAGATTGAATGCTAAGGGAAGCTCAAATAGATATCCGTAGATAGAATAGTTCCATTAGATACCATCTACTATCTGACGACGTAGAATAACACTTTCACATTAAATCGCAGATCAGAAATCTGAAATTAAGCTGTCGAAGACACAGGTACTATGCTTAGGCTAGTTTGAGATGATAGTGAATATCCTAACTCTTTATGTAGATGGAACCTTTTGGGCTAATCCTGCTGGTTACCCCAGAGTTCGGCCAAACGAAGAAGAGTTTCGCCAATGAGTTCATTGACGCACTCAAGGATCTAGATCTCCTTTTTTTCTAAACATTGATCGTGACGAACCGACAGACGTTCGCAAGAACAGCCAACCCAGTCACGATGTGAACATGACCTTCTGGAAGGCAATAACACAAGGATTGCAGAAGTCGAAAATTTCTATTATTACGAAGATGAAGGTGTTGTATCTCTCTGTAGGTAGGTCATCGCCATTTTTTTTCGATCTAGAACTGGGAATACTTTTTTCAAGTTGTGTGATTACTAGTTATATTCTATATACAGCGCTGCTAAGATTCTATATCGTAGAATCAGAGTGAGGCATACTACCTGATGGAGATCTGCCATCAGTGTGAAAATTCTCATTGTTGTTTAATTTGCTCAGGCTCATTAAAAACCCAGTAAGTTTTCTGTTTAAGGTTACCAAGATTTATGAGGCATCGTCTGCAGTAACTGAGTGTTGATGTTGTTATATACTAGCTATGTTATTTACATGAGACTGTCATCGGAATATTGTTTGATCTCGGTTTCTGTGAACTGATCCAGTCTGTGCGCTTGTAGGTTTGACTTACGAATGTTAAAGACATCGTTTGATTATAACTATACAGCTTTCTATCCTTAGTGATGTCTTTGGATATCAAAACCAGACAAGCAAACATATTGTTATCTAAACGTATCGAACTAGAAATGATTACTGCATCCGTGCGTTGCCCAAAGTTCAGACTGCTCGTTCAATAAGCAAGTTGTGTAGATTACAGTTAGAGGCATTATAAAATAGAGAAAAAAACAAACCTCTAACTCATTATGGCATCTCGAAAAGCACCCAGGCCTGATCGTATCTATTCAACTAGTTGACTCGGGTTTGACAACGTTGCTTTGGGGTCTATCCATTACATGGTTGTTATGTTGCAAGTCGGATTTCTATAACCAGCCTCGCTGGGTAACGTATTGTTTATTAGGGTGCAAAGTTACCATACATTGGTCCGTAATTTTACTTTTTTTTTGTTCATTTTAGTATGACCCTACCTCTTACTAAGAGGACTTCATATGCTTTCTATGTCTTTTACCTACGAGTATGCAAAGGAAGAATTTTTCGATAAATCAGCGAGACATCCAAAATGCAAGTGATCCCATAATGTATTGTTTTCATATTTTTGCTTCCTGCTTCAAGCCGCTTCCTCTGCGGACGGTGCGGTCATACTATGACGGCCCAATGTCCGAGACAGCACAAAAAAGTGTCCCATGCATAACTTATCCAGATGCACAGAAGGTTTAGTGGTATTGTGCAAAGGGACCACTTTACTGTATCCTCTTTTCCGCTCGGAGCCGTATTTTTTTGCCACTGTTTTGACCCTGTTCAACAATTTGTATCACCGCTTGAGTTTACCGCGGCGTTCAAGACTGCTTAAATATTTCCTAAATATTTCATAAAAACGTATACATCGACGGTTTTATTTTGGCTTCTGCATATATAAGCTCGAGCAATTGTTAGGTTTTGGAAGCCGCTAGCGAGCAGAAGCAAATTCATTGATACACATGTACTGCTTTAGTAATATGGTGGAACGCAAGCAGGGGCAATGGACATTCACTATAATTACATTAGAAGAGTGTGATTTTGTGTACAGCATCAAACCTTCTCCAGTACTTCAGGAAGCTTGAGTTCCGGCTCCTAGAACAAATAGGTCGTTCCGTTAATCAGCAAGTCACAACTGTACTATATTGTTGTGTATGTCAACATGCATCAGCTCAACGGAACCAGATGGGCCTCCCTTAAAGTGGGCAATTTCGGCCACTGTTTATGTGAAATACTACAGATATTCTTGCGTCGTCGTTTGCCACCATGTATCTTCGAAACAAGAGATGTGCTTAAGAGGAACGTCCCGTGCTTTAGGAACGCCTCCCTAGCTGCTAGTCTAGTCCGACCTACAAGCTGGTGCGAAGCTTAGCTAGACTGCTTAAGGACGGACAACGACCATAAAGCATAATATATTTATTGCAATGCAAAAAATGGCATCGTTACAATCCGAGTTTTCAAAGCAGAACGAGATTTACCATTAGTACCAGTTCGTTCGTTAATTTGCAATGTTGTTGAATATTGTGTGTACGCGAGTGTAGGAATGAATTTTCACTCACCCATTCCTGCACGCGCATGCTTATCGATATCCTTTCAATAGTGCAGGATATTTCCTATAAACAAGTACATATCTATATACGTGATACCCTCGTCTAGATTTCTCTCATGCGAACGGATGAATTTTTTCGCAGCTGTTACGTATGGAACTTGCAGAACATCTATGGCATAGCATATGGATGGTATATTTCAATGATCAATCACTTACTTAGTACAGGTCCCACCGTAACTGTTTTATTATAGTATCGGGTATGAGCCCCATAAAAGAGACCCGTAGGAAGTTTTGCGCAATACTGTGTGTGACACGGGATCTCATCACCCACTTACTAGTGAAGAACGAAGAGCTTGCTCACATAAAATCGTTATTGTAATTACATGGAAACTAATACATCTAGACTATGTGAAAATGGCCATTTTTAACATAACAGTATCTGTATGTTGTCGTGTACGTATAGTTGGAACGTAACTCTCCAAATATGTGAGTCTATACCTACTAATTTCAATGAGCCTTATGTAATTCTCATAATGAAGGTTGTCTGTACCAGTATGATGAGGTTTTTTTTCAAAATCCTTATATTTTTATGAGTCCATCCATAACTGAGTGGTTGACTCATCGTATTGATGATAGGAATAATTTGATTGATCGTTTTCACTTTTCGAAAATATAGGTGTGTGCAGGACACCGTGTGTAGGGCCGGCCGGCCCTCCCTCCCTCCCTCCCTCTCTCCGCGATGTTAGCGACACCTACGTTAGCTAGTGTATTTGCTTTAAATCGGCAATTTCGGTCATCAATGAAAGACATCTCTATTTCGGTCATTAAAAAATCGATCTAAAGACCAGATCGACGGACTTTATCAAAACCAGACTGGGTCACCTCGTGATCCTTATGAAACAGGGTTACGGTTAGATGCATGATAGCGAGATTAACAGACATGATTATTCCGCATACTAGCACTACGTACATTAACAATGAAGGGTTCGTTTCGATGTAATGGCCTACGATAATGGGGAGAAGCAAAGCTCCGCTACAGGTCAGGATCAAAATAACACTCATGTAGTTGTGTGACAATGTCACATGATTAGACACCCATGCCGTACACGAGCCGTACAAAGGTGACAGGCCAGCGCCGAGTAAACAGCATCCAACCCAAAGTACACATGGGGTCCAGTGTGTCAGAAACACCAGGGCTGTGGCGGCCAGGAGAAGGATGCATTGACCGATTATCATTAAATGCATTGGGCTCAAATGATACGATAAGGGAACGGCCAGAACTCGAGCGGCTGTAAAACCCCCATAGCACAGCGACGTAAGGAAGGCAGCCGCAGACTTTGTGAAGCCGTGCTCGGTAACCGCGTACACCGAGATAAATTTAGAGAAACAAGCCTCCAGCGTCACATCGATTAGGGTGTAAAAGCCAACGAGACAAACAAGAGACCATTCAAACATTTTACTCGATATATAAAGTGTGGCGGAGTTTCTCGCTTTCTTCTGAGGCCGAATGTCGCGTGAGTCGAGGTAGAACGATATCATCATTAGTACAGATGTAAGAAGAAAGATACAGCCGATGATCCCATATGGGATGTACACGCGCGAAGTCTGCGCAATGACGTTACCTGTTGTAACTAGCGCAGAAGTACTATTATCCTCGGTGGTCATTACCGCATCATACATGGTCCTGAAATAGCATTTCGGTATTAGACGTGTTTCAGTTAGCTCTTCCTTTAGTACAATGTCAATGTGATCCTCGCGCCTGTTTTTTTTCCTTTTTTTTCCCTTTTTTTTTTTGTTGATTCAATGAGTATTTCCGTCGTAATTTATCAATCAACTATTCGACAGGTATCACTCTCGCTGAGATGATATGTAATTTAATACAATGTACTGATAGGGATGGTCCGCTTTCTATGTTTTTTATTGTTAATTGGTTTGAACAGCTTGCGGAAGAATAAAGGTTCAGGCCAGATGCGCCCGCTGTCACGTTTGTTAAAGTAATATCCAGTAGTGGGTGTGATGAAGAACCGCATGAACTCGATTTACTTTTGGTTGAAGAAATTCGCTAGACAGTGGCAGACGTATCCAGTTTTCAAATATTGAACTCTAGCGTGATTTGAACCTGATCTAAGAAGCATTGTAAGTAAGAAAGATACTTACATTTCACTGCTGAGAAATGGCTCTGCAATAAGTGGGGCGACTAGGGCCCCAATCCCGTACATCAGATGCAATAACTGGATGGCAGGCGAAACGTGGTCACGCCAGATACCAACCAGCCATACGTACACACCTATAATAATTGTATAGACAACAGTGGACGCAATCGCAATAATCTTTGTTTTTTTTTTTGTGACACACACACGTCGCGAGTCTACGCAATAGATCGACCACATAACAATGTGAAATTACTAGATGGTTCGTGCTTAATTATATGTACGTCTGCATACAAATATGTCTCGAAAAACACAGCAGGAATGAGTAGACTTACGTAATGGGGGAGCCGTCGTTATTTATTTAGTGAGTTTTATCGTCTTGGTAGCGCTGGTGAAGATTACATACCAATTTCCTGTACACCGAAGAAGCAGCCATTCAGGAAGGCGAAGGTGGCCACGATTAGCGGCGTACTACCGTGCGGGATGAGAATATTGAAGATTCCACAGCATAACATGCATATGATGATCACGCACTGTGCGTTAAACATGGTAAACAGCGGAGTTGCTATCAGGGGGTAAACAAAAAAAAAACATTATTTTTAGGTTATTATTTAGGTGTAAATTATATTTTACAAAATTCTCTTATTACATAACTGCGGATCATTGTTAGTTCTGTTTGCTGGCGGTGACTCATGTTCTAATCATACTGATATACTAGACAGATAAGATATCTGATCACAGAAAAGGCATTTACTATATAAAGATATAGTCACTCAAAGCGAAAACAACTAAAGCAGCAATTGTTTAGATTGGTATAACTATATGCCTGTCGCACATACCGAGAAATGAGCCTATGAACGCTCCAAAGTCACCCGAGAACGCGACGTAACTCATTTGAGCCACGGAGATTCCGAGAATCTCGGATACGTCCAAGAGCGTTGGACCTACTATGGCCAGGGTCAGGCCCTTAAATAGAACGTGAATACCATCTATTACAATCTCTTGTACCTCGACCTCTACCTTCTAAGAAAAGGAAAGCATTGATTTTTCAACAACATCTATGGAATGAATATCTACTTATCGAGCGGCTATGAGGAGCACAATCAGCAAAATGGACCACCTAATTATTATTAACGGGTAAGCTAATATCAGCTTTGGTGTTACTTCTTCCAATCTTCTATGGTCGAAACTGCAAAAAAGCGCCACGCCTCCTCATAGAGAGGACAACTGGCATTACATAGCTAGGTACTTGATGACCCCAAGTGCTTCTGTTTGTTGATAAATCGGAGGGGAGATTTATCTAAAAACCATTATCATTTATATAAAACGTACTGTAGGATAAACTTTATCATTTGTTCAGGCATCGACTGGCACAAATATGATTCTAAAATTTCCTTGCCGATTGTAGTCAGCCATGTTTAAGTGTACATGTGTTATAAATATGACCTAGAACTACATAACGTCCCCTTTATCTTAAATCACGCGCGAAGATACGTCTATTCTTCCTCGTTGTGTCTTCAATAATGTATTTTATCTTTATCACGCCTTGCACGCGCGCAATTCACGAATCGATCGTGTATTGCTCGTTAGGACGTTCGATCGAGAGGTATCCGTTCAGGCATATTGGGAAAACACCCAAAACTAACTATAACGCTATTTTCGAGAGAAGAGATTAGGTGGCCATTTTTTAATTGGTTGGTATCTTGATGTTCAGCTGAACGTAGGTCAGGCACATTTTTTTCTATCTATACTATAATCTATATTTTTTCCACATGAACGCCTTAGTAGTAATTACAATTGATAATATTGATCTTATTGATGACCTGATCTGCAAGGATCTCCAAAGGTCTCCGAGTTCTATAGTGCTTTTTAACAGATTGCTAGGTAGTTCAGCCGCACTTTATACATGTACGTAACTGCTGATAAGGGGATTTAAGACTTTGGTTCGCGCAATAAAGCTATCAGGTATAGGTCCACGGATCCAGCTGTCCTCGTAAAATGCTAATATTCGTCTTTTTTTTTTTTTTTTTTTCCTAACTTTTTTATTTAATTTTAAAATCCAAAGTTCCTTGATCGTGCGCTAAACCCCGCACGCAAGTCGGTGTGCGGAAGGATCTTCGTCGACCGGGTGGGTCCAAGGTTGCCATATCGAGCTTTCGATCGGATGCCTTTGGAATACCTTAAGTTTTACAAGTTTTTGACAGAAAAGCTAATTCTTAGTAACCAGTTAATTAACACTCAATCAGCGATTAAGAAAATTAGAAAAGATGAGTACTAGACGGGAGCGAATTACCGCGTAGCTAAGTCGTTTTGGTATTATCTTTGGAGACAACTCGTATCACCCTACGTTTCTTGCCAGGCGAATTGAAGCGTTATTTTTTAATTAAATTATTTATTAAATTTTTAATTAAAAATGCTATAACACCATAATGAGATGGGAAAGCGTCACATTCCGATCTCGGAGCAAGTACCGCATTGTGGGTTGATACGGTCGACCTTCTGGACAGAATTATTAATTGTAAACGCACAATAGGAATTGTTACCGTTAGGATGACTCACTAGAGAAACGCTGGCCATGTTCAGATTGATACTTTGGAAAATTCGAATACTGTTAGACAGCAGAGGCGTAAGCTCGACTTGCATCTCCGACACGTCAGATCCAGCTGGGCCCTCTCTTCCATAATTTTCCGTTGCTGATTCACGAAGCTCGGAATTTTCAGCAACTTTGTTTGCCTCATTGGTGTTTTCATTGAAGCCTCCTCCGAGGGAGCCCACATGGTTGGTTTCGCCCATTCGCTTGGACCTAAAGACGTTGATAGGTACGTCTGGGGTGTCGACCTCAGAGGCGGCTGCCAGTTACTGCACGTTCAACCACTTCACAACCATGACAGGCGCGCTTCAGATTTCCTTGGCATCAACGAATTCGATAATCCGATACTGCAGATATTTCGCACACTGCAAAAAAGGCCGGATGAAGCATAATTACAATTTAGATCCATTTACGCCATTGAAGATTTCCTACGTCTCATCAACCCTCATATCCATTTAGGCGCGGTTTAAACATTTTGAAAAGGCCACTGATTAAGCACATATTCCAGACAGTAAAAGGTCTATGAAATGTAATACGCACGCCAGCACTTCATAGGGATGAATCTGAAAACATTAGCTTGCCAGAATTACGATTGTTTGACATTGACGCGGTCAATGTTTTCATTCAGACGGTTGCTAAAGAGGTCTGAGCTAATCACCGATTCGTGTGAGGAATCCTGCACAATTATTCTGATCGAAATCGACATCTAACGACAGTACCATCAGATCAAAGCCAGTTCATTTGTACGCTCACCCCGTAGAGGTCATCTGAGCTTTGTGGCCACCACTCGGGCCAATCAGGATCGGACAGAGGAAGCACGCAGCAATAATAGAACAAATACGCGAACTCGACGCCAATATAAGATGCCGTCATTAGAGAGGCGCTATTCTTGAGAGAATAAAGGACACACAAAGAGTCCGCGCGTACGTGTGCCTGTGATGCGTGAACCCATATCCTTAATCTCGCTACTCTTCTTGCTTACCTGTGTCACCACTCGTGTCACTTATCCGTGGCACTGGGCTTCTTCTAGTTGTGTCAGTTGGCCTATTATCTAGCAGCGCTTGGATTCACAGCGTTAGTGAGGCCGGAGATAAGCTTTCGGCTTTAGATGACTCGCTCGGGGGAACGAGTTCGCTTGCTCTAAGACTGATCGCAGGTCTTCACTTTCCATCGAGTCAAGCTATGAGCTGATTCTACGCTTCCGTTCGAACGATTCAAACAATGACTGATACAAGTTTCTTTTAAATTAATGCCGTAGTGCTCTATACACATACAAACTAGCGCTGTAACACTAGATTTTCGTGAATCGCTTACTTACTTCTAAGACTGCCTCCCCAAGTGAATAGAGGTTTCGAAAGTAGCGGCACCGCCGTCCGCTACTTCCTACCATCCTGTAAATTAATTTTGGCTTTTGGCTCAGCTTAAGAGGTGCATAGGTTATACCTACTGACTATTATACCCCCGAAGCCTGTTGCAATACCAACATCCATTCTAGCAGGTAGCCGAATATTTCTCAGATGCTTGTTCATTATATTTTGTTCAGTTGAAGAATTATGAATGTTATGACTGATATAGAACTAATTCGTGAGAGTCGAAGCCTCCGTGAACAGGGCGTTCACTACAATATGAAATGATGAAAGCAGTTACCAATAAGAAAAAAAAATTGACTTCTCCTAAGGTAACTCAGCTTTCCCAAGCGTCAGACAGAGGCGACAAAAACAAGTGATACATATCTCGTTTCCATCTATATTAGGTTCTGATATTCTATCTAAGCCTTATTCGAACTGATGGTAGGTCACAACTTTAACCTAATCACCTGAATTGACGGACTGTTCCTTGGGCCTCATAACGTTAGCGCTAAAGTTTCAAACCGACGGCAATACTGCCGAATTTGATTTTTGTTTATTTCGCCGTTAAATCTCAGAGTAAGCAAAGCTCAGCTTTTAGTCAGACTTGTGAGAACGTCGCGTCTAAGTATGTATCGAACAGTTTAATGGAAGTGACCTTCAAGTTATCTAGTCATCGATTTTAATTAGCAGGATCCATGCGTTAAGGGACAAATTTATCATTGATAGTTGAACGTAATATTATGCTGTAGTGAAGTATCTAAGTAGCCCGGTTAAAAGTAACTGCTTGAACGTTAACTGTTAAGCCTTGTCGAAGATTCTATCGGTCGCAGAAAAATACAGCCGGAACGTTTGTCACAGAACTCTATTGATGACAAATATCAATGTGGAGTAACTTTAGTAACATTTGGGTGGCCATAGTGTATTTTAATCACTGACCCATCTTTTTACATATGTAGAATATGACGCTTCTTCTTAACTAATTAACCAGGCGAAGGATTGGATGATACCTAAAAACGATTCGAATGAAGGTGAGAGAAAGTAACAGGATTTATTGTCTTCTTCAATGAAGTCAGAATGGAGGCAATTGACAGGAACAGTTTAGACATAACTGGACACAGACGCCATCTATTTCACAGAGATCGAAAGGTAAAGTTCTAAAGACCTGACACCGCGAAAATTTAAATGGTTCCTCAAACTACAAAACGAAAATGAGCGCCCAACCACTAGGAGCGATAATGACAATTACATATATATATATATATATATATATATATATATATATATATATGCAATGATTCATTTGTGAGTTCTGCAACTTGGATGCAGTTCATTTGGTTGCAAACAGCTGTACAATGCTGTTTTTTAACAAGTTAGTTGAAAGGTCATAAGTTGATGTCTGTCTTTTCTGACAAAATTTTTTATAACAAATTAGAATATAGGAACTACATAGAACAATACGCGTCTTTTTGGTTTTACCGAAGCTTGTTGAAATAAAATTGCATAGCAACTTAGTAGGTACTAGGTGTATTTTGAAAAGGGCCTACTTTCTACTGTGTTCAACTGTGGATCACATACATAGTTTTAGCTTTAGAGAGTGTCATAATTCCACAAAGACATGCCGTTTTTTTTAAGATGTAATCGTCCATCCTTACCCTTTGTCCAATGTTGCATACTTTTGTTTTTGGTAGATTTTTTCAAAAACGTTTTATTTATTCGTATATTTAAATATAGGACACTTACTGCATACTCGTTACTTTTGCTAAGACAGATTCCTTGCGTCTCTAAATGAGTATGGTACAGCCTCTTTGGTCAGGCTGCGTCTATGGCCGTATGGTAAACATCAGTGCCCTAGCGATGATCGATCAAAGGAACTTTATTGACGTTGAATTTAAATGAATGCGACCACTCATGGCTTCAAACGCTGAAAATAAAAATGGCGTCCAGGTTCGAACTGTGACGGTAAGACCCTTTCGGAAACCGTTTAAAAAACAAGGTGATCGAACGTTAAGATTTATCGACAAAATGAAAAACTTCATGTTAAAAAAAAGTGCATTTAGTGTGTTCGATCAGATCTCTCTGCTTTTACATATCGCTTTATTAAATCTCAACTTGTACATAACATGCGTGAAATAGGAAAGTTTTGAAAATAAGTACGATTATGAGAGGTTTGCAACAAAAAGGTACGTGTTTGCCGTTAGACGCTGCGCCCATACATGTTGGGTGCCCTTGATGAACGGCCAAAGTAACGATTTTTCCTCTCTTTTACACGTTTAGCATTAGAATGTCATATACTTGGTTGCGTAAATTTGTGGACAGTTCAACTAATAGTACTGATGTGGTGTCTGATATTCTGGCTGTTCCTGAATTAAGGACACCTACTTCTCCCTCGGAAATCAGCAACGAAATTGATCGAACAAACGTTCAAAAGTGGCCTTCGGGAGGCATGTTACCAGCTGGCTCGTACACCTCAGTTTGTTCTTTTGGTCAACTAGCTGTATAGGAAGTGCGATTAGGAAACATGCACTCCTAAAGCAAAAATTAACCTGTTCTTATCTAGAAAAGATTAAATGAATTATAAATTGGCTATAATATAACAAAGGCGGGAGTTATAGGAGAGACTTTGATTACTATGGCAGCACGTATGATTCCCACTAAAATCCCTAGTATTGTTGTTATTATTATTATTTCGAGAGCTGAGAGCTTTGTTGATACATGTAAAATGAAAGCCTTTTCTTTTTTTTTTTATTAAGTAGCCCTTTATTGTACATTCAATGTATCTATATTTCATGCTGTATAAGTAACATGGCTATATTTCGCATGTATGTATATTTGCGTTAAAAATCTTCCAAGATCGCACCAAACGGGTCGTCTCTTCTTCATTTCATATACTTTAACCTCCACCTCGTTACTTGTTTGCAATTAAGTTAAGCGTAACGCTGCACCTTAACGGTTTTAATCGTAGGATCTTCTCTCGAAATAGATTACCTCATTAGATTGCAGGCACATTAAAAGTAGAGGTAGTCAAATGATACCAGCGCGAAGAAAGCTCTTAATAACAACTATCAACGCTGTTTATGCCTATACATTCGTTGTAGTTAATTCGAAAACAAGTAAGTTCATCATCGTAAATTATAAACGTTTTTTATCTATGCCCGATGACAGAGTTTCGAATAATTGGAAGCCGCTTATTTTTACATGTAGTGGTACTGAAAATATGTTCTTCTTCTCTTCAGTTTGTATATGCCTTACGATTCTATTATTTTTTGCTAACAAGTAGATTTATTCGTTAAATCCGTTCGGTCTCTGGCTCAGGTGTACTAAAGAAACAGACGCCCCGCGGGTGCGCTGTAGGTGTTTGAGGTAGATTTATTAAACAGTGGCTTGTACTGTAATTGAGGGTGAAGCTCTCTAATAGCGTTGGAGCAATGCGATAGCCACGAATTGCACCTCCAGAGTCAACGTGTCAACACGATGGCAGCCTAGGTGTTTTAATCAGTCGCCCCCCGCTATGTTGGTGCTATTGATCTCCAAGCCAACAACACCCTCTTCTAATATAAAGGATCGGCTTTTTGACGCGTACTCTTCCTAATTTCAACTGTGTCATCAGTGAGTTTCAGCTTCTGAAAAGTTACCCCACCATCGCTAACCAATCGTGAGGTCTAACAGTGATGTCTAAACTCAGGTCTACCTATTCCTATTCCTACCTATTGAACCTTAAGCTTTAGCCGTTCAAAGAATTTCGGTGTATCATCTATTGTTGTTGCATTAGGCTGCCACAGTTAGCAAAGACGCTGCCCGAGCTCTATTTCTATTTGATCAATGTCCATTATTAACATATTTGCCCAGGGACGGCAGTGATGCGAATTGGGCATATTGTCACTTTATAAATAAAATAAAAATGTTTTCAAAATAGTTGAGATATCATTTTTCTATTAAGTTATTACAGAAAAAGGGAATGACTCATCATTAATATATTAAATAGTCATCAATAAGACCATCATAGTGTTGCTAGAATC